CATAGCAAGCTTTGAAGTTCGGTTTATCTACGTCCGAGAGATTCAAGATTTCCCGCCACACTGTGTCACATTTATCCGGATGCCGTTTAATATGAAGCAATGTAATCATGTATTTATACACTGGCCCTTTTTCTAGTTTATATAGGGGCAAGTTTATTTCATAAGAATGATGAAGTTGGTAGTAGTCCTTCCAGGGTTGGGGTGATTTAATCTCGTTACTATTTAGGTAAGTGTTGATTGTTACTTTCCATTTCTCAGGAATACTTTGATGTAATGATTTTAAATGGAGATGTAGTGTGCGTTCCGATCGGATATTAACTTTGTTGTATATCTCCGTACTCGAAGACCATGCTTTACTCTGTTTATCGACTAGGTCGTGTATCTTGGTGATCCCGGCGGCCGCCGGGAGAAATGTCATCAAAAAGTCTCATTGAAGGTAAAAAGATAAAGTAAAGGATTATTAAAAAGTGGCTCATTAAGGAGACTGACCGGATTAGTATCATTGATTTTACGCCTTTTTGCAAGCGAATCCCAGCAGTGTAACAGTCCAGCGTAAACTCTAGGTAAGTTTGGAAGTGGTAATGTTATATTATTTTCATGCAGACGCTTGGTGAGCATCAAATTGCCTACTTTACTGAAATAGTAATCTGTGGATTTGAAACTGGGATGATCATAATCACTATACAAATATCTTTGAATATATTGAACAAGATTAGCATTAATACGTGATTGTAGGTGAATCAAATTGTGTCCTCCGTCCTCAAGTGGCAGGTAGAGCGTCTCAGCAGTTATCCAGTGACGACCTTGCCACAGGAACTCAATAAATAATGACTGGATATAACTTATTGTTTCAGAGGGAGGAGCAAGACTGATGAGCCGGTGTAAAAGTTGTGATGAAACAAGTTGATTTACGACGAGAACACGCCCTCTATAGGACATTCCTGCGGCGAATTTAGACCAGAAGGCGATTTTGCCTTCAACTTTTGTACTAGTTCTGGCCAGTTTTTCAAGTTGTCCTCGTATGATTTCGTATTACCCAGATATAAGCCAAGCTATTTTAGTCCCACATTATTCCATTTAATACCTAGTGGTGACTCGTTACGATTGCTCCACCCGCCAGCCCAAAGTCCTTCGTATTTTTCGTAATTTATTCTTGCATTAGATGCTTGTTCATAGACACGAAGCCAATATGCGAGCTTATTGAAATCCTGATCACGTGTCATAAGGAATTCAACATCGTCAGCGTAGGCGGTTAATTTGCATCGGTATTTGAAGGCCGAGAATACCATCGTCATTTCGAATTTTGTCTAGAAGGGGTTCAATCGCTAAGACATAAAGTTGAGATGACAGTGAACAGCCTTGTCTAATCCCTCTGGAAAACATAACAGGAGACGTGAGCATTTACGACATATTTATTCACTTTTTCTAACTTTTAACGATGGGTCTCGATAATATACCAACATAGGTCAGATTTCCATGTAAATATGCTAACTTTGCAACCACTTTTCACTATTTTGTAAGCAGTTTGTTTATCATTTCACGCACTTATAGTGGTATAATCTGCTAATATAAGGGGCTTTTCCAACACATTTGCTATTTTTTTCTATATTTTTAACTGCGGGGTCGATATTACAATGACTAAGGTAAAATATATTAGCATACCCACCTACTTTTCTAATGCTTTTTCTATCTTTTTAGGCTGTTTTAGAACATGTTACGATCAGATGATAAGGTACTATGCTAATATCTCGTATACTTTCACTTGCATTTTATTCACTTTTCGTACTTTATAATTTCAAGGTTAGATATGACAACAACTTAGTTCAAAAATACAAGCAAATCTACCAACTTTGCACTCACTTTGCACAGCTTTGCACGCCATTTTAATAGCTTACATCCATAATAGCCGACCGCAAATGGCAGTTGTGTATTGAAAATACGTGCAAATTTTAAAACATGCTATAAACTTAAAATATCAAAATAACCAGCACGACTTTCTACTAAGAAGGTGTTACATTACAATAATAAAAATACCAACAAATGGTTATGTCTTTCCATGTTTGTGTCGGAACCAAATAAAAGTATTTCACCAGCTTGTTTGCTCAAATAGTCTCCCATGCAATTACTAGCCACGCCCGATTGATCTTAACTTTTGTGATAGGTCCATCACATGACCACTCGACTATTAGGATCAGTTGAATTTAATTCGAATTGGCGGCCATTTAATGTTTGGAAGTGTTTCGAAATTGCATTCATTTGCACTTATGTCTTTCGTAAGTTGACCTATGACCTCACCATGCTTCGTCAATCAGTACGATAAATAAAGGCCATGTTTGAATACATTATATTACATATATTTTATAGCTCCCATGTCAAATAATTAAAAGTAAATTGGATGACGTTAGTGGGTTGTTTGGGTCATACCGTCCTGTAATGGAATGACAAGATCGCTTGGCCAAGTGAATAATTGAAATGCTCAAAACTGTTTGAATACATTGTTTTAAATATATTTTATAGCCCCCATGTCAAATCAAGTAAATAGAGCGACGTTATTGGGTGTTTTGGGTCATACCATCCTGTAATGGAATGAAGAGCGACTCGTCTATAATGGAATGAAAAAAAATGCTTGGCCAATTAAATTGAAATGTTCAAACGATATCAAGGCATTGTATTTTATATATTTTATCGCTTTCATGTCAAATAAATGAAATACATAGTCGTCAGTAATCGTTTATGCCACGACATGGGCGCATTTTACTCCGCCCTCTAACAGTGTGAGTGCGTATGGTGCCAGGGAAGATTGTGTAAATGAATAGTGTATCGACCAAGGCTGTCGCTTTTACAAAAAACGGCATTCGATCGAGCAAATCCATTCGTAATAGTAGTTATAAATAAATAAA